ATTGGATCCTTTGTGATAATTACCATAGCTTAATATCTGATACTTCCAATATTTGGGTCATATTGGAGTCTATATCTGTTGCCTGATTTATTTCTTGAAAATGGGACATTTATTTTCATGCTGTTTTTTTAAAAATATATTTTATTGAGTTTTTACAGAGAGGAAAGGAGAGAGATAGAGAGTTAGAAACATCGATGAGAGAGAAACATCGACCAGCTGCCTCCTGCACACTCCCTACTGGGGATGTGCCTGCAACCAAGGTACATGCCCTTGACCGGAATTGAACCTGGGACCCTTCAGTCCGCAAGCTGACGCTCTATCCACTGAGCCAAACCGGTTTCGGCCATGCTGTTTTTTAATGTCTTCTATCTTTGACTGGATATGGAACATCCTATGTAAACAACATAGGCTGAGTTAAGCAGTATTTGTATTCTGAAATGAGCATGCCTCTTCATCTAGGTCATTATTGTAGGGGATTGAGTCTGTCTGGTTAATAGTGGGCCAGGTTTGGATTTTCCTGATCTTTTAAAGAAAGTGGAAAAGAGGGAGAGAGGGATGGAGGGAAGAAGAGGGAGGCAAGGAGGGAGGAAAGAGGCAGGAAGAGGAAGGGAGGGAGAGGGAAGGAGGGAGGGAAAAACATCAATGTGAGAGAGACATTGAATGGTTGCCTCCCACATGCATCCCAGACCATGACCTCCTGGTTTTTGGGTCGACGCTTGACCACTGAACCACACGGTCTGGGGTTGATGTTTTTTTCCCCCCGTATATTTTTCTGTTACTAAATTCTAGTTTAATTTTATTGTGATCAGAAAACATACTCTGTAAAAACCAAATTTTACATTTTTGTGATTTGATTGCTTCTGGCCCAGTGTATGGCCTGTTATGGTGAATGTTCTGTGTGCTCTTGGAAAGAATAGATATTTTGCTGTTAGGTGGAATGTTCTGTAAATGCTACTTAGGTCAAGTTTATTGATAGTGTTGTTCAAGTCTTCTGAAGCCTTATTGATTTTCTGTCTACTTGTTCTATTACTTATTGAGAGCTATTACTTATTGAGAGAGCAGCATTAAAAGTCTCTAGCTATAATAGTGGAATTTCTATTATTCCTTTCAATTGTAATTAGGTTTTTGCTTTTAATTATGTTAAACTCTATTATTAGGTACATGCACACTTAGGATTATTATGTTCTCATGGTGAATTGACCATTTTATATTTATTTATTTATTTATTTATTTATTTATTTATTTATAAACAACTAGTTGAGTGTCTCACATGTATTAGGCCGCTATTAGAGACATATAGATGAAATGCATGTACTAGTACAGGAGTTGTTGCATCTCTGTTTTTCTAGAGGAATTGGGTAGGCTTACCCAAGGAAGCAACTAAACTGATACTTAAAAATGAGTAGAACATTCTATAAAAGGGGGAGGAGCTTTAAGCAGAGGGAATACTGAAATTTGGAAAATTTTTGTGTTAAGTGCTTTTGATTATGGGCGAAGGAAACTCATCCTCACCTAGTTTAGAATAAAGAATAAAGGTATGGGTTATATTAGAGTTGTTAGTTGCTAAGTTCAGAATTCACTATATCTAATATCAGCAGAAAGGAATATAGGATAGTAAGTTCTCATAGAATCTCTGGAGGACTATAGAACCAGGCTTGGATGCTATACTTTTCAGGAACATTGGAAACACCCATGCCCTCTGCTGCTTGGCACCCATGATTTCAAGCTTCAATTGAGAAAGGTCAACAGACATGGCCCAGAAGAACATGATATCTCAACCATTGTTCTTGCCAAACTATCCAGTCTCCCTGCATGCAGCCTCATTTTGATGTTGCTCACTTCTGTATCTAAATGTCATTCAGGCCGAAACCGGTTTGGCTCAGTGGATAGAGTGTCAGCCTGCGGACTGAAAGGTGCCAGGTTCGATTCTGGTCAAGGGCATGTACCTTGGTTGCGGGCACATCCCCATTAGGAGATGTGCAGGAGGCAGCTGATCGATGTTTCTTTCTCATCGATGTTTCTAACTCTCTATCTCTCTCCTTTCCTCTCTGTAAAAAATCAATAAAATATATTAAAAAAATATCATTCAGGTTTGTCAGTTTGGCTAACATAGCCCATTAGTCTGCACCTTTGTTCAAGGGTATCTGGGGAAAATACAGTTTAGGGTTTCAAGCAAAATGAGATAGACGTGGTTTGGAAGTGGATGTCTAGTGTCTGCCACCTTTGACTAATCATTCATACTTGCTTTCTGTACCTGCTTCCTTCCATATATCAACTTTTAAACAGTAGTAATTATTCCTGAATCATTGGAAAATGTGGTACCATTTCTTCAAATGGGGAGGCACAAATTTACTGTCATAGCATCTCTGGTTGATGTTTAGTCTTCCTCTAATTTTAGTCACAACCCAGCTTGTAGCTTCTACATTAAATTATAATGGTAAAATCATCAACAAGAGACCTTATAAAAAATAGAAAGGGAATTGGGGTGCAGGAGGGAAATAATTATACCAAGCAAGGAGGGAAATCTGGATGACTTCTTTAGTCTTCTTTTTCTCTGTTTTTGAAACTCATTCTGAGGACTTCATTGGCATTCAAAATCGACTTCCCTCACTCTTCTTTTCCCCTCAGTACTTTTAATAATCACAGTTCTTAATCTGGTAGGGTGACCCAAACTTCATTTTTGAGGGTTCTGGGCCCTGGTTAGAAGCAGTATTTTGTGGGAATAAGTCTTTCATAAGTCTGTGGGTGGTTTGCTAGCTAATGCATTGTAGGCAGAAAAGGCAAATCATATTTAGAATAATAGTCTGTTCAATGAGAACAGATGGCTGCTATTCTATGATGCTGAGAGTTTAATGTAACTGACATGTTACCAGGAATGGGAGGCCCAGTGTACTCCGTTCCTTGCAAATTGGACACCTGGAGTAATTGGATCAGATTTGGTGAGAGGACATCCCGTGTAGCACCCATGTGTAATCTCTGTCTCCTTGCCTCTTTTGTATCCTTTGAGTATTGGTGTGGTTAGGAAAAGAGTCTGGTTGATCATCATAGAGGAGATAACTTTATCCACCTGATATTAGTGAGAATTTTTCTGCAAAGGGAACTTATGAGTAAGCATGAGGACACAAATATCCTCACACCCAGGTCTGTCCCATAAACCTCTTTTCTAAACCTTATTGTTACCAATATTCTAATCTGATTTCTTTCAAGTCTCTGATCATTGTAACAAGTGAATAACCACTGCCCACGAATGGGTATGGATTAGTAATTCTGGCCATCTCTCCTTCAACTCGAAGTAGAAACCCAGATGTTTACTCGAATATTCCACCCTCCAAAAGGATCTACCTTCTTTACTGTGCCTTAGAGCCACTCCTGCTTGGGCCTGAAATGCAGGAGTGGGCTAGTTCTACTTGTTGCCAGTATATCGTGCAAAGCCATCTGCCGCAGTCAGATTTCTTTCCTCTTAAATTGACATGTCCTAGGGTCTCCCATGAAGCCGTAAGTGGGAGTTGAGGAAGAAATGAAACTGCATTAGGAGTAGACACACTAGGGCATGTTTCTCATGTGTTCGTGACCTCCTCTTCTTCTTGATGAAGGAGTGGTGGTGCTGAACATGCCTGATTAGGATTGCATGGCTTACCGCTAGGTCAAGTCTGGCTCATGACGAGCTCAGGTTACATGGTCCCTTGATTTCCAGGTTTCCAGGTAATTGTATGTCAGGGGGTTGTTTCTGAAAAGAATAATAATTAGCAGATGAAGAGTTTTTAGCTTGCGTAAAACCTTAGGGGACTCTGCCAATAACTGTTATACGGTCTCACCCTATGTGGTCATGTCATAAGCTCCTTAAACCATCCCTCAGACCCTTTCAAATCCATTAGATTGCTTGTTGGGTTGGAGAAAACTGCGTTAGTTGTAATGCAAATGCCAGTGACTGAGCAGATTTGGTCCTGCAAGGAGACCATATTTGTAATTACTGTTGTAATTGCCACCCAATTAAACTGAAAATAAGTTCCTTTCCCTAAACTCCATCTGTTTTTACTTCAGGTCAGATAGGTGAATTAAGTGTGCAGGTGACAGGAATGGCAAAGATGTTTTACTAGTACATGTGGGACACAAGCTGCAGTGCTGTCTGGGAAGTACTATTATTTTTTCTTTGACTAAATGATTTTTTCCTTTTCAGTTACAGTTGACATACAATATTATGTTGGTTTCAGGTATACAACCCAGTAATTAGACATTATATAACTCACTGAGTTTAGGAAGTACTGTTTTAATTCTCTCACCCGATAGTGCATTAGGGACAGCAAGATGGGAGTCAGAGGGAGTGCTGAGTCACCTATCTGTAAAAGTCTGCTGCTACAGTGAAAAGTTGTGAATGTTATCAGTCATTTTGTCTGAAATTTGATCTGCCCTGATTTGCATCTTGAATGACTAACAAATCTCCCTTTACAAAAGGACATATTGAATATATTCTTTGGTTGTGGGTCTCATGTGTGGGAGCTTATGTGACTATTTTTGAATAATGAAAAATATCAAAGACAAGCTTTCTGTTTTTCTAGTATGAACCACACTTGGCTATGTTTTTCTTCTGAGATTTGTTTTAATTTATTTTACAACAAAAATAAGTCAAAATAGAGCAGTTTTTTAAAGGATGGGAAGTATGTCAGAGACCACACGCCACCCAATGGTAGCTGGCATCTTTGGAAGTTGAAGTAACTGGCTAGATCTATTTCAATATCATTTCTGAAATTTGTATTCCTGGGTAAGTCATAAAATAGTATCAGTCATAAAGTTTATAATTTTTAGCAAAACGGGAAGTAGAAAGGAAATGTGTTATATTAGTCCTAACTGAATGTAACTTGTTTGGGATACCCTTTGCTAAGAATTAATTTCAGTTTTCATAAACTGGATGAATCTTCTATCTGGATATTTGTCTCATTATTTTAAAGGAAAGCAGTTGCTATAGTAGCTTGTTTTTATTGTCATATTAAATATATTTTCAGCTCCCTTGGAAATCATTGACTAGCATCATTGAATATTATTACATGTGGAAAACTACTGACAGATACGTGCAGCAGGTAATTTTTTATATATCACTACCAATATGATTGCATTAAAGTGAGCTTTCTGTTTACATTTTAATATTTCTTAGCAATATACTTAATTTAAAATTTGTCTTGTTTGCTTTATCTTTTCTAGACTATTTTAAACTGCATGATTTCATATCCTTAAGATATTATTTTAAGATTTTAGTCTTAATATATTTTTTTTTACTTCAGAATTTATTATGATAGCTATTTTGGAAGGACAACAGGGAAGGTACCGCTAGAGAGGCAGTGTTTTCCTTGCAGGTGCCTGGTGCCTCATCTCTTTGTGAGTATACTTGGAGGGAATGCCCTAAGATGTGATGTTAGCGCACACCTTTTGAGCAACGTATTTTTACATATTGAAAATTTAGACCAATGCCATTTGTGTGGATATATCTCCTAAGTCTTTTATCTTAACTGTAAAGTTAGACTTACTAGTTTGATGCCTCGGTGTACTGTACATAAATTTTTATCCGAAGTTATTTCTAGAAGCAGGGAGTGATTTGTTTCTGACTCCTTCCCACATGTCCCAAATGGAGGTAACTCTCTCAGTTACTTATTTCGAGCACTATTTCCTGGGAAAAGGCACATTTTCCCAAAGTGACCCCAGTCAGTACTTGTTTTTATATTCTTCTAGTCTCATGTCAGAACTGGTAAGGAAAGGGGCAAATATATTTAACATAGACATTATTTTTCCTAAGTATGTGATTGCACAGTGGCAAGTGTTGGATGCTATAAAAATACATTTTAAGGATCACTTTAAAAATTGCCATAGTGAGTTGTTGAGATCATGAATAGTGAATAGCCAGCCACCCATGGCTTATTGAAACATTTCCAGAATCAACATCATGTATAATTTAAAAAGTGCTTATTTGAAACAATTTAGGTAGATAGAAATGAAGACCAGGTGTTCTGAAAACTGTTTCTCAAAGCAAAAAGAGTCCCCAAAGATGGTGGAGATGATCGCTCAAGGATGGTTGAAAATATTTGGATAGAATTCTTTTCAGAAATTTCAACTCCGTCCCTAAAAGTTTTAAGTTGTCCCCCTAAATGTTTTTGTTTACTTCTCATTGAGAAAATGAGGAGAAATAATTTGGTTTATCTTATTTTTTATATCTACCATATATTATTTTCCTTCCCTATTTGCATTCATGTTGTGTTGATCAGTTTCTGGATTTGACTACATAATCTTTTTCCCATTCCTTTTCCTGCATTTGGCTCCTAATTGGTTCCTAAAATCTGATGTGAGTTCAGCCAAGCTATAAAGTATACTGCATACCTCCCAACATTTGAGGGTAAATGCTTATTTAATTGTACTTAGAATAGTTACTATCTCTTTCTTTTGCATGGACTTTGAAAACTAATCACCTCTGAATATTTTTCTAAAAGTAAAGATGATGTGTGTTTTTTTTCTCCCAGAAAACCAAAAGAAGAAATACGGTAGAAAATAAATTTGAAAAGTAAAAACGGTTACTTACAAGTCCTGTTTATTCACTCATGTGGGGGACGGAGTTGTTCATTGCTTTACTTTTAAAATCTATGTCTAAAACGTTATTAATACTTACAGTTCTGTTTCTCAGAATCTAGTGACTTTTCTTAGAAATTACTGCAGCTTATATGCACATTTTAAAATGGCAACTTTTGAATTATGCTTTAAATTCATTTTCTTGTGGATTTTTTAAAACAATGAAGTGGTAATAGTTGCTAAGCATTGTATGTAAAATATTTTATGTATCTTTTGAATTAGAAACGTCTAAAAGCCGCAGAAGCAGAGAGTAAACTGAAACAAGTGTATATCCCAACTTAGTAAGTAATGGAAATCTTTTAAAATATTTGTCATGGTATTAATTCTATCAAAACAAAATATGTCATTTTGGTCAGTTCTAGTCAAATTTGAATTCATTATGTATCTTATTTTCTTCTACTACAAAGCATGAGACTTGCTTCCCATTATATCACTATAATAATATTTTTAGAGAGAAAAATGGCTGGTAGGAAAAACACCACGTAGACAACAAAAGGACGAGAGAAAGAATGTCCCTAAATTGTACTTCTGTCACAGCTGCGGGGAAAGTGTTAGGAAACTAACCTATGAAACTGTTGTTTGAAGCAAATGTATTTCAGAAAGCTACCAACTCATGAAACTTGTATGTGGTAGAATGGATTTTTTTGGTTAATGCACATTGCCCTTTTGAGGCATGTTGTTTATCTAGTTGATAATTTTATATTATTTGCTTAGGGCTAGGGTTAGGGAAAGTAATTGGAATCATACTTTGTATATGTTGGATAAATAGTGAATAACTTTTTATTGTTTTGGCCTAGCATTCTATCATTGTTTTCCTTTGGAGTTAGAAAACATTGTTATATCAACATGGATGCCAATATTCTTTTCATATGCTATGTTTTAAATGAATTATAATCTTTTTCTTGAGATCTTTGGATTTCAATCATTCATTTGTTCAGAAAAATTCAGTTTATTGAGCACCACATATATAGTGCTATCCTAAGTTCTTTGGGGATAAAAATGAAATTTACTGCAAAGTTTTATGTACTGCTCCAAGATTTTTCTTACTCTGTGAGCTCAGTACAGTTGCCTTTATACTTAGCCTTTTGTTTACTGAATTTTGATACATTAAGACAGTTTTATATACTAGTATAAGAGGCCTCATAGGAAATGAATTGTTCTTACTAATCTTTTTTTTAAAATCCTCACCCAAGGGTATGCCTTTATTGATATTTGAGACAGAAGCCAGGGTGTGGTTGGTTGGAGACACACACATGTACACACACATTGATGTGAAAGAGATCAAACCTACAACCTGGGTATGTGCCCTGACTGAGAATCAAACCCATAACCTTCTGGTGTAGGGACAACACTCCAAACCATTGAGCTACACTGGCCAGGCATCTTACTAATCTTTTATCTCAAGACAGATAATATGTAATTTATGGGGCTCATAATTTTTATTCAGAGATACAATATCCCTTCTGAGAGTGGTTTCTAATATTTTTAAATTTTATATAGTTTGAGTTATTTACAAAAGAATAACTCCCCAAAGGAAATCTGTTGTGATTCATCTGTCTCAGATTTTCAAAAGCAGGCATACCAGCTTTCTTGAACTTCACAATGTTTGTCATATCAAAGGAAAAGTGCATTCACCAAGCTAAGAAACTGGTGGAGAACCAGGTTAGGTCTAGGTCATTTTGAGTTTGTTGTGTCCACAGAGGTGTTGAATATATTGTTGGGTATATTGGAGGGGAAAGTTCTGGGCTAGAGATACAAATTTGAGCTTCATCAGCATATATCATTGTTTTTTAAACTATGTATGAGATTTCATAGGAGAATCAATAAGAAAAAAAAATGCCTTGGACCAAGCTTGAGGAAATCCAGTATTTATATGTCAGATACAGATAGAGAATGAAAGCTAAAAAAGAATAGCAAGGTGAGTGCATTATTAGCATTAAAGCTGAGAGAGGAGTGGGTTTCAAGGAGGGAAAGAGACCATCAGTGTCAGATGCTGGTGAGAAATAGCCAGGGAACTTAGCATCACAGAAGTTATCGGTGATCTTAAATGCCGTGGTGAGGACTGCATAGAGCCACGGTGCTGCAGACACTGAAGATGGCAGCTCTCAAGAAACCTGGCTGCAAAGGGCAGTCGAGAGAAAGTTCTCGGCTTTGGGGAGTAGGTTGGGATAGAGAAATGGGAGAGTTTTTAAAATAGGAGAAATACATAACATGTTAATGAGAGGGTCCAGGAAGGAGAATGAAGGGAACAAAGTTCTCAAGAGGGTGGAGGGGTAGAACCTGGAGCACTGATGGAGGAGGAAAGGTTTGGGCATCAGGTAAAAGGACAGTTTCATATAATGGTGACTTTAAAACATCTTTCACGTTTTTCTTAGAGTAAAAGTTTATTTGGATGGTCACATTGACCTCAGTCATTTGTGCCCTGAATTAACCTGCAGGTACTTGGTTTTGCAAAACATAGTTTAAGTGATTCAAATGTTTAAGTATATTCAGCCTTTGAACACTTGTTTTCCTTTTGTAATTATTACAATATTAAGGTCAGTAGTTTATTCAGTCAAATAACGTTCTAGATTCAGGTGAGGAACTAAAGTTGTATGTACTCTTGTTCTTTTTTTCAGGCAGTTCAACTATAAATTTATATTAGCTCTTTTTCAACACATATATTTTAGCCCAGGGTTAAATATCAGAAATTTTCATATTTTGGGGAAGTCATTTAATTTCAAAGTGCCATCATGTCTATTAGCTATAATAAATTTTTAAAAATCAGAAATATTATATCTCTTGGACATCTTAATCATTCTAAATTACCACTTTTCATTTTGTACATTTCCACATGAAAACTATAAGAAGAGAAATACATTCTTTCTGGCTTAAAATTTGTTTTTTAAAACCAATTTGTCTTCAAAACACATTGCTGGCACAGGTTAAAGTTTAAATAATAGCCCTGTATATAGAATGGGGACTTCAGAGCACTCAGAGGTTCAATGATTTCATCTGGGGGTGGTGATGGGTGTCACCAAGAGTTACAGTAACAATGCCAGGAAAAATCTTAATTTGCTGTCAGGCCAAGTTTACGTACTAGGCTTTTGCTCGTAATTGGAACTATGGGAATGAAAAACAGCAAAGAGGAAACTCCTGAACCAACTCTGTGTGGAAACGCCAAGTGTCTTGATAGTTGTGACCACTCATTACTTTAGTAATCATGGAAGATATAGTCATTCAGCATTTATTTCTCCCAAATAGATGTGAAAGTTCCTTGAAATCAGGTACATGTTAAGTGAATTATGAGTTTATTGAGGACATACTATATATACCTGTGCAGTATCATCGGTCATGGCTTATAAGCTGGGGAGTTAGCCTACCCTAGATGGGGACAAGTTAGCCATGTTTGCACAGCAAGTAGAAGGTAATCTGGAGTACATGTTTCTGGGGAATTATAGCCTCTGGGAAATTTGCACGTACACTTCTGATGATGTCACTCTTTTCCTCCTAAAATTTTTTCTTGAAGAGAAAAACCTCTACTTTCCAATGCTATGTAATCTTCATGAAAGTTCAAACATAATAGAAATTACTACCATGAACAGAGTCTCCTGAAATGCTGACTTAACTCTGGATATGCCCCATTGACAGCTAGTGTTTGTGTTGATCATGGTCTTTTGTAAGTTCCCTCAGGAGTCAGCAGAACCAGGACAGTGCCTTCCTCTGAACACAGCACATCGCCTTCGGCTTCATTTATATGATTCATAAAAGTATTTTATGTTCTCAGGAGAATTTGTGATAGCTAATACAACTTAATAACTTGTATTTTTCAAAATAATCAGAGGGTGTCCTAAGGAAATTGTATTTGTGTGGAGAAGAGAGATGGCTGTATTTATTTTGTGAGTGTCAGGCATAAGAGATCAGTTTGTGCATAACCTTGTTTTGTAAAGATGAATGGTTTGGGTTCACTTTCACCAGTGTATTTCTTCTTCACCAAGCATTCAGATTTATTTATGTGTAATTCAGATAAATCAGTAACGAAGTGTAGAGCCTTTGCCTTATTTGTACAAGTCATTTTTATGACCTTACTTTACATTTCATTGGAAGCAGCAAACCGAATCCCAACCAAATATCCACCAGCAATGGCAAACCTGGTACTGTGAATGGGGCCGTGGGAACCACATTCCAGCCGCAGAATCCCCTCTTAGGGCGAGCCTGTGAGAGCTGCTATGGTAAGTTTTCTCCAGCGGGGCTTTCTTTTCTCATTTGAGGCCTGTCTCTGAAGTGCGTGGAACTGTGCTGGCACTGTGGGAGGAAGGTACATGAGGTCAGTACTGTGCAGAGGGCAGAATAATGCAGCCTTAGAGTGAATAGATGCCCATCCTTCCCTTCCGCCTGGACACTGAGTATTTAAGTCTTGGGTTTCCTTTGATTTGCTTTTGTGGGGTCCTGTGTTTGTTGATACAGCATTGTTAGCTGAGTTGCATTCAGAGTTGTTACTAGCTTTGTGCAAACCATGGTCCCATGAAATATTCCAAATCCCCTTTTGGGGTTTTTCAGTATACTTTGACAAATTAAAGGCTCCAAATAATTCTGTAGGAAACACCTGTGTGGGTGTAAACTGCTGCTGATAGTCCTCAGACCAGATTCCCTCAGAGCATTGGTTTGGGAGATGCAGTTCTATGATATTTGTTTTTGGTCTCAGGATCCAATTTATTCATTCCTGTCAAAAATCTCTACCAGAGGCTGGTAGTATTATATTTATTGGGTTGGTGAGATCAATTATTACATAGTTGATACACTTTTTATGTTTATTAAAAATCTCATACAACAATATCATCTCTTAATGGAGTATCGGTGACATTATTATCTATGTTTTCTACCAACCAAAGTATGCTTGGGTGGGAGAGGGAAGAAAACGAATATTTATTAAAAGTCTACTTGGTCCCTAGTTTTTGTCTCTCAGCAGCTCTTTGAGGGTAGATGCAGCCGGCTGCCCTAAGGACATATGAATGAGGGCGTTTCCGCATTAAAAAGGCTCTTAAAACCAAATCATAAAATTTCTCTTCTGAAACCAAGGAAGGTGTGAGCCAGACAAATTGTGACTTCATAGAAATGGTACATATCTACCCATTTTCTGCACCGTGGGAGCACAAGGGGAAACAGTTTGCGGAAAATTGGCTTCTTTTGGTCAAGATTTTACATGAACTGCATCACAAATGTTTTTGAATTGGGAATTCTTAGATTTTGAAGTACATTTATATTTAAATAAAATTTTAAAAAAAGAATCCTGGAGATACATGGTAGTGACTTAGTCTGTCTTTTATATATAACCCCCTTTAGATATAAATAATCTCACATATACCTTTAAATAATTATTCTGATATTTTTTTGTGTGCATGACAAATAAGCACTCTTAATTTTATAATACTTATTTTTGGTTCATATTTTAAAATAATTTCTATCAAAATAATATAATATGTTTATAAGATTTATCATTGTAGAAAAAATTGCTCTTTTCTATTTGTCATTTTTCAATTGAACACGAATTAATTATGTGTGAAGAAAAGCATTTGTTGACAAATATTAAATGACATGTCTTAGTTTGGGTAAAAATTTTGTTTTCAGAATCTAAAATAAGTCCATGCCTAATATGTAAAATTCTTATCATTTGTGTTTGTAAAAAATCAACTTATGATTTGTTTTTAAATTTTAAGAGCAAGGTTTTGGGGCTGCTGCTTGCAAGGAGTCCTCCAAAAGTAATACATGACGAGGTGCACAGTATAATTCTCAATGAACTAAAAAGGCAATCTGATTATAACGACCATCACATCTTTTTTTGACATTGGCTGTGAAGTATTAGCTGACTCCTGACTGTGCTGCTTGAACATTATGCGCTATAGATCGGGAGGAATATTCCAACGCAAACTTACAGAATTATAATAGTGATTTTTATGCACCTCATTAACTTAAATGTGTCAGTGTCAGTGTTTTCAAACTTCAGATGGGGATACTTTGAATGTTATATGGCAGTAATTTAAACTGCAGAATAAGACTAACACAGGCTTGCAGTGTTTAGCTATGTGGTAAATCAACCAAGTTACTAGGTCTTAAGCATGCTGTGATGTTGGCCACATATGCTCACTGAATATATACTTACAGTCTTGAAGGAATTTGTTTTTAAAAGGAAGAAATTTAAAATAATTATTTTATCTATTGATTAAGGAATGAAAACAGGTACCTGCTTCTTTCACATTCCTACCTCTGTCAGTGGGGCCCCTCTGAGTACCTTAACCGAACTATAGGTTTGGAAAACTGGCTTTAAACTTTTAAACCCTAATAGCATTAATAATTTTCTGATAGCTTATTTCCAGAAATGTACACAATAGAAAATATTTGTAATTAACAAAAACTCCCCCAGCAGCACAACATACTATGTAGGATACGTCATCTAATAGCTTCTCTTAGACAGATGCCACGGGCACTTGGTATATATATGAAGTTTTTAATGAATTCTGAGTCTTGAAAACTATATGTATACTAGAAGCCTGGTGCACGAAATTTGTGCACTCGGACGGAGGTGGGGTGGGTTGTGTCCCTCAGCTTAGCCTGCGTCCTCTCGCAGTCCGGGAGCCCTTGGAGGATGTTCGGCTGATAGCTTAGGCCCGCAGTTGGACATCCTTAGCACTGCAGTGGAGGCGGGACCCGCCACTGCCGCTGCACTTGCTAGCCGTGAGCCCAGCTTCTGGCTGTGCAGTGCTCCCACTGTGGGAGTGCACTGACCACCAGGGGGCAGCTCCTGCATTGAGCGTCTGCCCCCTGTTGGTCAGTGCACATGATAGCAACTGGTCATTCCACCGGTCGATTTGCATATTAGCCTTTTATTATATAGGATATTAGACTTTCATATATGGTTTGTAAGTTGGGGGAAGAAAAATAACGTAAACTGAAAGTGCTTTGAAATATTTTTTGAAATGTTTGATTATATATTGATGTTACAAATTCTATAGCATCTTTGTTTTTCTTTTTCCTCCATCTTTAGCTACACAGTCTCATCAGTGGTATTCTTGGGGTCCACCTAATATGCAGTGTAGATTATGTGCAACCTGTTGGCTCTATTGGAAAAAATATGGCGGCCTGAAAATGCCCACTCAGTCAGAAGAAGAGAAGTTATCTCCCAGCCCACCTACAGAGGTACATGAGCAGTAGTCCTTATAGCCTTGAGGATGGTCATATTTTTCAATGGCTGGATCAGTCCTTGAAAACAGTACAGTGTTAGGTGATTTAAAAGCAAACAAAGCTATTTTTGTAGCTAAACATAGCACCATAATATTCAGGGTGAGGGTGGAGAGAAGGGCAGGGACAAATCCAATCTTCACAGGTATTCAGTATTTGTTTTGTGAGAAGATTACCGAGGCAAAAGAACAATGTGTGTGGGAGGCCTTAGCATAAGTAGAAAGCTTACTGATTAAATGTTTGTTTTAATTGCTTTTTTGGGAAAACAGTTTGCAGCCTTTAGATACTATTGAAATTGTATCTTATTACATAAAATAACAACTTGAACACTTTTTCCCCATTCCTTGGCTATCATAGGAGGCACAAGAACGTGTGGACTTAATCTTGAGGTGAACAACAGTTGAAATAGGATTTTGGAAAAATTCTCATAGCAGATATCAAGCACCCTGGTCTACTAGAGGGAGACTATTATATTTGAGGACTAACAGGATCTTGGAGTCCTTTAATATTTTTTTAAACAACACTCAAAATAATCTAATCCCTTGGCATATTTTTAAAAACTTATTATGAATATAGTTTGGGGTTGTTAGGGTCAATTTAAAAACACATACATACTCCCCCACCCCAAACCCAGTTTTCTTCTCTACTTCCCCACCTTCTTTCCAAAAGTACAAACTTTTTTTTTTTTAAATATATTTTATTGATTTTTTACAGAGAGGAAGGGAGAGAGATAGAGAGTTAGAAACATCGATGAGAGAGAGACATCGATCAGCTGCCTCCTGCACATCTCCCGCTGGGGATGTGCCCGCAACCCAGGTACATGCCCTTGACCGGAATCGAACCTGGGACCTTTCAGTCGGCAGGCCGACGCTCTATCCCCTGAGCCAAACCGGTTTCGGCCAAAAGTACAAACTTTTTAATCTTGTCATTTGGAGTAGGGCAGTGGTCGGCAAACTGCGGCTCGGGAGCCACATGCGGCTCTTTGGCCCCTTGAGTGTGGCTCTTCCACAAAATACCACGTGCGGGCGCACTCGTACAGTGTGATTGGAACTTCATGGCCCATGTGCAGAAGTCGGTTTTCAGCCCGGGCGAGTCTATTTTGAAGAAGTGGCATTAGAAGAAGTGGGGGATGTCAGGTGGTCGGGCAATGGGAGATACGGCGCAGGCGCGGGAGACGCAGCGCAGGGAAGGCGAGGGCGATTCATGCATGAGTTGAGTGAGCCAATCAGTCAGCAGTCTCATTGTTCAGTGGTTAGTGCTAGTCGTGTCCGGAAATCGCGCGCAGGTGACAAAAGATAGAGGAAATAAGTATACAAGATGAGTATGGATGGGAGAGTTGGAAGGGGTCGACCTCAGCGAACGTACCTCAATCAGATTGAGGACGTTTTTAGCAAAGGCCAGCTTGGGAGTACCCTAACTAAGTTAATAACAATGTACCTACCTATATAGTTTAAGTTTAAAAAATTTGGCTCTCAAAAGAAATTTCTATCGTCGTACTGTTGATATTTGGCTCTGTTGACTAATGAGTTTGCCGACCACTGGGGTAGGCTATTGAGTTGTAGATGCTTCAGTGGATGATTTAAAAACTGCACTGTTGTTTGAGCATGATGCCAGTAGTACTGCACTTTAACCAGCCCTGTTCTTCACCTGTGTGTTGGTGTCTGATTCTACAGGACCCCCGTGTCAGAAGCCACATGTCCCGCCAAGCCATGCAGGGGATGCCCGTCCGCAACACTGGGAGCCCAAAGTCTGCAGTGAAGACCCGCCAAGCTTTCTTCCTTCACACTACATATTTCACAAAATTTGCTCGTCAGGTCTGCAAAAATACCCTCCGGCTGCGGCAGGCAGCGAGACGGCCGTTTGTTCCTATTAATTATGCTGCCATTAGGGCAGAATGTAAGATGCTTTTGAATTCTTAACCTTATGTGTTGTGCTTCTGACCATTTTCTCTCTTTCCCGCTCTCTTTTTTGTTTTGTTTTTATTTGCAATAAACATAAGTTCTTGTGTACAGCCTTTTATTTGGTTTATTTTTTTTACATTGCTTTTGTCTGCTGCCATTTGCATTATGCCAACCTGAAAAGAAAACATTGCCACCTCTGCAGTTTTTTGCATAGTGTTCAGCAAAAGATGATGGGAGGTGTTCCTATCCAGTGGGGCTTTGTGATGGAATTGCCTACATAGGTCTTATTGAGGCACTTTTACCTGGAAGGTAGTGTCACAATGTAATCCCCCAGCGTGGTGGTACAGTGGAACTCCGTAACTGAGACATGCAGTCCAGTCTTACATGAATTCATTAGGTTTGAATAAAATTTGCCAATTTACACTAATGAAAAATTGTATGTTATTATAAATTGTATTGTTTTCCCATGAACCTTTTACAGTTATCATACAATATTTTGGAAATTCACAGTGCTTCATAATCACTAGATTTATTAGAAGATTTAGCAAATTACAAATGAATTTTAAAGTCTTGGGTGAATTTTTTGAAAATACACATTTAGTTTTTACAAACTCATGTCCGAATTTGTTGTTGAGCATTCTTTCTATTGTCCAGTTTGGTTTCCATTTCATAATCATATATCATATATATTTCCACAGACATTTACATGACTTAATTACTCTCATTTGCAATGCGTTCATTCTTGCTTATGTTTCATTTTTTTGTTAGAACAAAGGTCATATGTACCAATGAATCATGGATTGTTCTGTTTTTACAATGTACCCATAAATGTGTTCATAAGTTATGTGTTAACTCTGATTCTAGTCATGCTCCTTTCGGTCACGTTCCTGGCTAGCATGTGAGAGCCATGCAACTTTCCCTAAAGGATGAGAAGAAAACTTGCTGTCTGGCTTAACATGGGAAATAGGAAAGATATTCAGTAGATGTTTTTTCTTTGTCCTTGAGATAAGAAAGTTCTTACTACAGGATGTTCCCATTTTGATTTAAAGAGGGTATCCATAAAAGGAGTAATGATTGAAAAACATTTTGTTCCTAAAGATAATTTTTAAGCAGGATAGTTGAAAGGCTTTAAAAATGTACAGGTAAAAGCTTTATAAGAAGAAAAGTGCTTTGTAAAGGGAGTGGAAATTGATAGTAATCTCTGAGTCCCATGGAGGGGAAATTTAGCTACATTAGATTCATATGTATTTGAGAATTTAGGCTTATGTTGAGGTTTCATTGCTAGCATTTCAGAGTTGAGGGATTTATGCTATTTTCACTTTTTACAATCAATTTTAAGGAAGTGGAATATTTATATTCATCTAAAGTGCTTAGTTGATTTAAAACACATATATAATTTCTTAGGTAAGAGGAAAAACATCTGAGAAAGAAAATGAATGAAATTCTTTCATTAAAGTTGACTGGGATCCATTATCATCTTTGTTCCTATGAATGGAAAAGAAACCATCACCAACTAAATTGGCTGCTTGAGGAAGCTTCTGTTTCCTGTGGCTTTTCTGTTCATTACTCAGTGAATTTGCAAATTGTGTTTATTTTGATTATTCTTCAATGAAGTATATTTTTCTGCCACCTCATTTTATCCCCTCCCCCTCCCAATTGAAAGGCCATAGTGCTTTTAAAAAGTCAAGATTAAATTACCTGTATTTTATTTCTACAAACATAGATATATAGTAATAATAAGAGTGTAGTCACTTGTGATGAGATTCAAGGAACATTTTATTTTGTAATTTAGCTTCATTGGGTTACATATAGAATTAGATTCTCAGAATAATTAATTTTACCTTGAGATTTAAAATGATAAAGCTTCAGCAGGCATCTGCTCAGTAATTTTAGCATATAATTGATTCTTGCATCATCTCCCTTATGTGCACCTTATTGCAGCCTCTTCAGCAGGTCCCTTGATGTTGGCTTGTTAGTGAGATCAGGTGTTAATAACCTGGTGTCTGTAAGCAGCCATGTCTCTGGTCCGGTGAGAATGTATGTGTATTTTGGGGTGTAAGCTTTTCTTGGTTTCTCAGAGGCAATGGTGACCCTGTTACTCCCCTCACAAAGTTAATCACTGTGGTGCAATATGAATGTTCTTTCATATCAGGTAAGAGGTTGTAATTCTAAAGATACTGATAAATTAAGAGCTCTAATTAATGCATTTTAGAATACTTCATCATAATATTGGAAAAGGGAAATAGTTTTCCCTGAGAACTTGAGCATCTTCCTCTTATAAGCACTATAAAAGTTGACCCCTTCATTAGCACCATCAAAACCAGAATTTATGGGGTTACAGCCTGCATATGACTGGAAAAGAGGGGAGCTAAACTCTCAATTAGATGGGGGAGACCATACTCTTAATTGCGAGCTCTTAAAGGGGAATCTTTGTTTGCATATGTGTAAATATCCCAAGGAAAACGTAAGAAGTAGAGTGGGGAGGGAAATTGGAAAGCTGAGAGAAAGGTGATGGGAAGGAGACTTCACCACTCCATTCTTCCAGACTTTCAATTTTGAACCATAGGAATATAGTTTCTGTTTTAAATAATTTAAAAGCAAATAAGTATATTGTATGATCAACATGTATGTATGTGTGTGTGTGTGTGTGTGTATATATATAAAATGATATATATATATCTATATATATATGATATATGGAAAATGATTTTTAAAACCAGTTTCTCCAAATATCTATTCATTTTAATAATATACTTTTATGTGTGAATATATAAGTCCATGCCCCAAATTACTAAAATTAGTAGAATACCTGAGCCAGTTCAACTGTATAGATAGTGCTTATTAAAAATGCATTGCTAGCCCAGGCAGTGTGGCTCAGTGGTTGAGCATTGACCCATGAACCAAGAGGTCCCTGGTTCAACTTCTGGTCAGGGCACATGCCCAGGTTGCAGGCTTGATCCCCAGTAGGGAGGGTGCAGGAAGCAGCCAGTCGATGATGTTTCTCATTGATGTTCCCATCTCTCTATTCTTCTTCCTCCCTCTCTAACATCAATAAAAACGTTTTTTAAAAATGCATTGTTAAACCCCAAACCAAGCATTGCATAAAAGTACTATTTCTTTGATGAGATTTGCAGACTGATGTCATGGTTGTAACAGCATCAAGTTTCAGGCGGACTAGCCTGTCCCTTCTCCCCTTTGATGCACCTCCCCTCAGTAAAAAAGCCACGATGTGATGATGGGGTTCCTCCCTTGATACTGCCATCAGACAATAAGTTATCAGATGACTTTGTCAAAGCTCAGTAAAATCACCTGATACCAGCTGAGCACAGGGTTATTACTTGAGATTCAGGATCCTCGGAGCCTGAGGAAGAAGTAGGTGCATTAGCAGCATCCTGTAGTTCAATGAAGCTGGGTCTTAGAGAAGTGGATCCAAAGGATTTACCTGCCACCTCTGTAGCTTGCATGGATCAGTAAGTGGTTTCTGAGTTGACAGCATACCAGACTTGAATGACAGCAGTATACCCACAATGAAGTTCAAGAGGCACCTGGAGCCATATTTTTTCCCCCTGTTCAAAGTTGCTAATTCAACTTGGAATTATCCCAAGGGCCCATACTTAAAAGAAATCTGTAACATTTTCTGATTTTTTTCTAGAGATGGCTCAGCAAAAGTTATTACTTGTATAAACTTTTGTGAAATTTTAAGCTCTAACATTAGGAGAGAAGAGTTGGGTTTATTTTGGTAATAAAATTTGTTTCTGAATGGATACTTCAAATCTTTCTAAAGATTCAAAAGTGGTTACAAATCTCATCCTACTCTACAGAGGTAACTGCTGTTACCAGTATTTAAAGTATCCAGAGGTATTCTGGATTACTTTTCTAAAAAAAATTTAATTAGGTTAATTGGCCTAAGAATTCCTAGGCTATTTCCAACCATTTTCTATTAGAAGTAATGTCGCAACAAATATCCCTACATAGATATTTCAAACTGATGAACATGCATTTTGAATTTTGATAGTTGCTACCCAGTTGTCCTTAGAAAAGTGCAATTTACACTCACACCCACGGTGTCTAGAGATGCCTGTTTCTCTAGGACCTCGCCAGCGGTGTTACACATCTTCCAAACGCTTGGCTAGTTGACAGGTGACATGTGAGCTTGCATTTCTTTTTGAGTGAGATGGAAATATTTGCATATATTTGTACATTCCTTTTCTGTCAACTGTTTTTGCCCCTCGCCTATTTTCTGTTGGATAAAAGTCTCTATTTGTGGGAACTTTTTATATTTTAAGGAAATTAGCTCATCTGTGATATGTGATGCAAATATTTCCCCATTTTGTCTTTGACTTTGTTTATGCTGTATTTGCCAAATAGATTTTTTAAACGTAGTTGAATTTATCTTTTTTTAAAATGGCACCTGTATTTTGTATCTTGGTTAGAAATGCCTCTACAGTTCCTAAAAGGAAATTCTGTGGATGGTTTTATTTTGACAGCGATCTCGAAAGCCCATGTGAGATGTTTTTGTGAATTTTAATTCGATGTTTACTTTTTGCAGTTTTTCCATTTCATTTATCCCCCTCATCTTCCCAAAGCAGTTTTTAAAAATGGCCATCAGTTGCAATAAAAGAAACAGTGTTTTTCCAGGTTTACCTCAAGGAGCTGTAGAGCATCCTCTTGGAAGCCAGTGACAGGTGCCTTGTGTTCAGTCCAGTAGCTTGAGTGAGACGTGGAGTTCGCCTTGTCTCTGGGCAGATTCTGATTCCTTCTGGGTTCTTTGGGCATTTGTCAGATCGCTTTCTTTATCTGTGCACTTTTACTGCACACTAATGAATGATCTCTGTTTAAATAGTTAAGAAAATAATTTGGGAGTGAGGACTGACCCACACTGGCCTGTTCTTATTCGAAGATGCTAATTCAACTTGGAATTAGATTTTAAACAACTCAAGTGTGAACCTGATAATCCTATGTTTATGATTCCCTCAGGGTGGAATGTATTTTTCCCATTTATATATCACTGAATGGCTGCCATTTTTATGTTAAACAGCAACTCATTGTCTTAGCACCTTCCCAATTTCTTTATAGTTGAGACTGGTAATTTGTGTGGGATTAGTGAAATATGGGTCCTTCTTAAGAGCTTTGACCCCCCCATTCAGGTGCTCTGTAAATTGTCACTTGGAACATCATATAATTACTCCAACTAATTTAATGAGGAATTAAAAACATTAAAGTGAAATATCTTTGGATATTGTGTAGGTGACCCCTTTGATGGATTTGTTGATTCTTGTCGGTGATGGTTATAGGGGAGTCCATCGATTGCAGCCACACTGCTAGTTTTCCTTTGGGCCTTATAGACTGGAATAGAGCAGTTAGTCTAATCGCTAGTAATAGTGATATAGCGATTGCCTTTGTCTAGTGCACTGAGGAAATAAACAAGGGGATTCACTCAAGCTTTATTAATAGAAAGGAGAAATTTTTCTCTTGTCCTCATCCCAAATAGAACTTCAGAAGAATTAATAATATTAGGAAAGAATTATTATTTAGTATTAGTTCACAGTGATTTGACAGGTGTTTGATCCTTGTAGGATTTGGGCTGCTTTGTAAGGTTTATTTAGATTACTCTTCCAAAGCATGGTGATTATATTTCCACCTGTATCTTCGCTATTTACGATGGGTGAAAAGCTTCATAGCTTAGTAAGTCTCCCCCCAGAGGAAATCAACTGAATAGTAGGAAAAGAAATGGAATCTTCATAGTTGTCAGTGGTTTCATAATTAGCCAGTGTTTGGGATAGATATTCAGATTCCTATTTGAGGATCTCTGTAGTATGTACTTTGTCTATTTTCATATTTTTAAAATGCTATTTTCCCACCTTTTACTGTTTGTTATTAGAAAAAGAGTTTCCTTAGTGAAAGAGAGGGCCACAGCTTATGAAAAAGTTAATTTTTTACGTTTAAATTACTTGAGATTCCAGATAGAATTGTATGTTTTAATAGTGCAGAGAATTCCTATGGATGTCAAAGGAAATGTCTTGTATGTATGCCTAGAAATGTGGCCTCAGCCTGTGAAACAGCAAATTTTCTAAGTTGAGTCAGAAAGCCTGTAGGACATTTTTGTCCAATATTTGAAGGTGGGGAAAAGGCATAGATATAGAGTCATACCTGCCAGAGCCACTCTGTTAAGCTTTATGACAATATATGCAAATTTAAACAACTTCAATACACTTTTTTGTCCCTTCAAACTCTATTTTTACAACAACTCTGGTATGAGAGGCAGCCGGGTTCCATATCTATTCTTCTGTCCTAATGACAGCTCATTAAAATGCAGAGTGTTCATGGTGTATGCTTTATTTTTCTCTGTCGGAAATGTCTGCAGCAGGGAATGAGGAGTGTGCTGTGAGCTCTTATCCGCTATTATCCGTCCTCACAGAGCCTTACTGATTCTGATTAGCGGATAAAATACTCTGCATACAGGTGACCTTTTAAATCTCAGCACGAATGTCATCAGGGTGGGATACGAAGGATAGGAAACCAGTGATACAACCAAATGACCCATTTTCGTTCTTGTGAGGCTGACATCTCACGGAATTGAGTGTCACCAAGCTAGACCAAGTGCTCCTCAGTGGAAAACCACTCCATGTGAGTCGGGGGTGGCCAAAGGGGTAGTTACCTTCGTCAGCTGTCCCTTCTGCCTTCCATGCCAGATTAATCTTCCATCAGGATGGACTCGGCCTTGTACTTCATGGAAAATTTTCTGCTTTAATGTAGAAGAGCCGTGGCTAGAAAGGAAGCATATTCCCACTGCCTTTCAGATAGGCACGCACAGAATCTCAAATGGTTTTCTGAAATCCAAAAGGAAATGACAGGAATCTGGGGGGTGTTTGGCATTGTTTTGCACTTGCACCTGTTGTTTCTGTGGTGTATGTAGTGTAGGAAGAGAAAACAGCCTCATGGGTTGTCTCCATCTTTTTTTCTCTCCTCAGATGCAGACAGACATGCTGAACTCTCCGGAAGTCCCCAGAAAAGCAAAAGCACCAGGAAACCTTTGGCATGTATCATTGGGTATTTAGGTGGGTACTTTCTAATAGAGGGGAAAACCTCAACAATTTCTGTACCTTATAAATATTTGGCTATCCTAAATTGACATACCTCAACTAAGTTCAAGGCTTTTGAATAGCTGAAATTGGATTCCTTTGTATGTACGGTCTATTTATCTTGTTTTAGAAACTTTTTTTATAGCCAAAATGTACACAGCAGACACAATTATGGATTTGTTTACTTTTTCCAAAAAGGTCATTGAATAAAAATGCAGTGTACACTTAAGTATATAAATACAGATTAAGCAACAAAATGAAAATAAGAACCATTAAATTATTAATGAATGAATCGTCTTAAGGTTGTAGATTTATTTTTTAAAAATATTTTTTTATTGATTTCAGAGAGGAAGGGAGAGGGAGAGAGAAATAGAAACATCAATGAGAGAGAATCATTGCTCTGCCGCCCCCTGCACTCCCCCTACTGGGGATCAAGCCTGCAACCTGGGCATGTGCCCTGACCAGGAATTGAACCTTGACCTCCTGGTTCACAGGTCGATGCTCAATCACTGAGCAACATTGGCTGGTCTTAATATTATGATTTCGACCCTTCTAGTACCTCAGTCCACCTCACTCCTTCCCTTCAACAGAGAGAAATGGATTGGTTTATTTACCTTTTTTAAAAAAAGATAAAACTGATTTTTAAGCTACCTTAAAAAAAATTATAGTTTTGATATGCCAATTAAGGTTACTTTGAAAGAGGAGCATTTGTATTGCTTTCTGAAAGTTGCCAGAGATGATGGTTCCATTTACATGTTAAAATATCACAATTAACAATAGTATAAAAAATTACTGGGCAATGACCTTCTTTCTTTTTGGCAAAGGTTTAAGATAATTTGCAAAATAATGGTTCCTAATATACTTAGAAGCTATAATGGCATATTTCTAATATTCTTGCCTTTTCATTTTCTCAGTAAAAGTGAAATATGTAGTCAGAGTTGCACTTAACCTTATTGCTCTGTCAGAGTTTGTAGTTAGGAAGTGTCCAAACTTTAGATAGCCAGTCGTTTAAATCAAAGTGTAGCCTTGAGCCTGGCATATTATCTGGTCCTCACAGAGCATGCTAGCAGTCAGAAGCTCACAACTCCCTCTTTGATGTTAGCCTGCCACCTTATTTCTTGTTTTATTCCTCGGGGGCTAAAGAGTTGCTTTGATAGCCCCTGAGCACATCACATGGTTATCACAGGCATAGCCTAGGGCAGTGATGGCGAACCTTTTGAGCTCGGCGTGTTAGCATTTTGAAAAACCCTAACTTAACTCTGGTGCCGTGTCACATATAGAAATTTTTTGATATTTGCAACCATAGTAAAACAAAGATTTATATTTTTGATATTTATTTTATATATTTAAATGCCATTTAACAAAGAAAAATCAACCAAAAAAAATGAGTTCTCTTGTCACCTCTGACACGCATGTCAAAGGTTCGCCATCACTAGGTCCTTGAGGTTTGCTTTCTGTCTTTCCTTGCAAGACCTAATCCTAGAAGCCCCTTCTCACTTGTAAGGCAAAGTTTCTGATCATAGAAAATAGAATATAGCATTGCACATTAGTTGGCCTTTCCACAGGTAATTGTGTATCCCTCCTGTGGGTAAACTGGTGTGGGTTTCTCCCAGATATGCTCAAAGCTGAGTTGTCCTACTAGCTGAATTATATCCCTACATAACATATATCTGAGTAGTTACTGTGTTCAAGACACTATACTAAGTGGTTTGGGAACACCCCGATGAGTAAGACCTTGCCTTCAAAAATCTTAGTCTACTGGGGAAAGTATACAGGTTAAGACAGTTAAAGATTCTGTAAAGGAGTTACAGGTAGTATGCATGGGGCACTTGGAGGAAGGAGTAGCTATTTCTGATGAGTGTTAAGGCAGCCTACATGATATTTGATCTCAGCCTTGAAAGATATATAGGATTTGAAAAACAGGAAAGTAATATTTTTTCCCTTTTTAGGCTAAGAGAACCAGGTAAACAAAGGCCTCAATGAATCAAGGACTTGAAAAGCTCAGGGAATGCAGGTTTGTCTGGTCTGGATGGAGCATAGAGTGTGGAGGTTGCAATAAAAATAGGTTAGCAGCCCTGGCCGGTGGGGCTGGTTGGGTGTTATCCCCTGCACCAGAAGGTTGCCAGTTTGATTCCCGGTCAGGACGCATTGCCTGGGTTGCGGGCTCCTTCTCTCGTAGGGGGTGTGCTGGAGGCAGCTGATGGATGTTTTGCTCTCACATCGATGTTTTTCTCTCTCTCCCTCTCCCTTCCTCTCTTTCTAAAAATCAATAAGAAATACATATTTTTAAAATGAGGTTAGCAGACCTTCAATGCTATTTTGGGGGAAAAATAAGCGCCATATTTTGGTTATCACTTGATCCAGTTTGGACAAGTGTAGGATTTTGACCAGAACAAGATACAGTAATTCTAATAATGCTAAAGGCTCTTCCCAAATTTCAGTAAATGAGGCTGTAATCCTGGTCCTCACCTAAAAAGAAGGGTGGCTTTTCACCCTGCTTGGCACACTGGGTGTTAACCCAGAATCAGTGAGCAAGTTTAGCTTTGGAGAAGAGGTTGTTCAGTATCAGTAATAGACCGAGGTCCTTAAATTCCAATTCCTACAGTATTGCAATTGCTGTCCCTCTACTCTGTCCAAAAAGTAAATGAGTGGTTCTGGGCTCTGTGCCTGACAACAACATGCTTCACTTAAACACACATATACCACGTGCACATTATAGTTTTGTGATGTATCCTCTTTTCTTCTGCCGCTTCTTGACTCGAGTGTTTGGAGTTTGGTGTCAGATTTCGTGTATATCAATATGTTCTGGGCTGGGAGTGATTGGCCCTGGTTCCCATGCCCTGGGTGAAGAACCAGAGGAGGAACCCTGTTTTTCAGAAAGCTCTATGCACCAGATATGGGTACTTGCTAAGTTCTGGTTTGATAGAACACGGAGGTGGTTTTTCTCTGAGGCTACCTCTCCAGATAGTTTTGGGATTGCTAATACCTCGAAGAGTCAGATGCCTTACTATTCCCTTAGTAGAGCTTGTATTTAAGTGACCTTCTATGGTGTTTTTTTTTCCTTTTCTTTCTTTTTCTTGCTTGTACTGACAACATGAAGCCAGAGCTCCAGTTAGCAGGAAAGAACCAGCTCACTTTTGATAAGGAAAGCAGTCATGGTAACAGCACTTGAAGCTGATTAATTATGCAAGTCCTTGGGAAAACAGGCTGGCTCCTAAAGAACTGACTCTCAGCTCATTAAGAAATAAGATGTGTGCCTATTAACCAGGGAAGTTCCACAGAGGTTTTTTAATACCATGTTCTGAGTTGAGAAACCTTTTTTTTCCCCGTCAGAGATCCATCCTTCAAAGAAACCTAATGTAATTCGATCTACACCAACTCTACAAACTCCCACTACCAAGCGGATGCTGGCCACCCCCAATCACACGACTCTGAGCATTTTGGGGAAAAGAAACTACAGTCATCACAATGGCCTGGGTGGTAAGTCAGCCCAGAAATGCAGGGGCTGTTCTGATATGCCAGGGCCCCTGGCCACTGCTGGGCATCATCTGCCAAGTCTAAGAATGTATAACTGCAAGTGTGGTGAGGGGAATAAGAGGGAAGGCGGCCACGTGCCCTGGTGAAGACATTTCCCAGGTGCTATTTCTCCTCTTCGGGAGGAACATTTTTGCTCCCACTTTCTCTTAGGAGGCTTGTTCGGAGATGAAGTGTGTATGTAGCAGGCTGCCTCTGCTGGGCAATAATGTTCTTGCTGGGATGCACACTCACTGCTCATTTATATTTCCTTGAGCAGAAGGGATGATTTCACCTTCTGTCTGAGACAGCAGTGCTCTCTGGGGCTCTTCAGCCTTCCGTGGGTTGTTCTGAATTTGACATTTGTCCCCTACTTCTTTCATCTTGTAATTGTTTTTAATTGCTCAAGAGTACTGTAAGTCATGAAAGGAATTGCCTGAGTGATGCCCTAAATACAGAAATAATCATTTGTTTCTAATGGAAAAATAGAACTATCACTTCCTATCCAAAGTACTTCTCCTGGGCCTGGCCATATGATTTCAGGTGGAATTGAATTATGTTCCCAGTGGAACTATAGAGCATCCAGGCAATATGTAGTATTCATTTCAATAGTCCTGGAGTTTGAAACTGTCTTGATTGTTTAAATGTTGGCATTTATTTATGAATTAAACCCTTTTCAGGCTTTGCATGTCTTACGGAACACTAATTTCCTTCAGTGACAGTACATTTTTTATAATGAGGCCCTAGATCAAGGATGCAAAATTGACCTCCTAGTAATCATTTTCCATGGTGTTCTTTTTTCCCCCAGCATGACTTTTGATGGTCATAATGATGTCAAAATGAATAAAAATCTGAGGGTGAGGAGTTTAGTTTGCATTTATAGGCTTATCAATTGTTGTAGATATGGCTTTCAAGAATTTAGCTACACAGGAATCTTGCCGAAACTACTTCCTCGCTAATGAGAGCACTGCCATCATTGCCACGATATGCCTAATGTCTAGACACTGGAAGACCAGGGAATGATTATGTCAAAATGTGGAGATGGGATTTCTTTCCAGCGCTTCCTTGCCCACAGCCTGGGGCCCTTGCGTTCAGGCTTAAATGGAATCAGGAATCTTTCCTTTTCATCTCATCACTTCCCTGGCCTCTCTAGGCTTATAGTCTTACTGCAGAAAGCAAAAAGTAAGTTCTGGTTATTTGATATGTACATATCAATGAGTGTATATACATATATACATATTTTCTTTATGGAGAAAAGTATCTCTTCCACTTGTACCCGTTGGTCATGGTCATTTGGGTCTCAGTCCTGCATTGCAGTTGCTGTTGCTCCTTCCTTGAATCACAGGTAACTGTCTCCATGGGAATTCTAGAAAAAACAAAACTACTTGTAGTGTTACCTCTCTGTGGCTGTCATCCCATTTCCTTCTGAGTGAATGCTGCTACAGGTCGTTGTTTCTCTCAACAGGAGGAATGGACAGGGCATATGATGAAGCCCGGGTGTTAGGTTGACTGAGACCTTCAGCCTTATGGAGGAAGGGACACTTGCTGCGTTTTCTGAGAGACCTAGCTGTTGAGACACTTTTCTTTAAGACCCGTTGGTCTTTGCTCTCCTGTCCTGGTACAGAGAGGAAGGCTGAGGACATGCTTTACCTGTGCTGTCTCCTTTGATTCACACAACACAAGGCCCCAGGACGTCAGGGAGTTTTACTGTTTTGCATAACATTTAGCTCTCTCTGCCTAGCACAGTGCCTGGAAGGTGGTAGGCGCTCAATACATGTTAATTGAATAAATGAAAGCGATTGAGAAAACAAGACCTAGAGAGATGAGTTAAAGTTTTCACAATTACCAGGTACTACATAAATAGATTGGGATTTTCCTGCAGGTGTGACTGGTATCAGAGTCTGTTCTTTTGACCACTGTTATAAATAAAGTTGTGGCTCCCAACTGCACTGTATTTGTCAGCAAAATAGAAACTACGTAAGTTATTTTAACAGCTAATACAGAAATCAATATGACAGATACGGAGGGACAAAAGAGGTAAATGGGGGACATGGGGTTGGTGGTGGTGGCATAGGAAGCAGCCACCATCCCCAAGGTTAGGAGAACAGAAGGAAGAAGCTGGGGTTATCACAAGGTAGAAAGAAGCTCAAGAGGGCCATGAGGAGCTGGAACTCAGAGCCCTCTAGAGGACGCTGTTCTGTCGGCGCTGGCATCTGCCAGGTGTATGAGGCTGGTTCTGGGCGTGTGAAGTAAAGCTAGGAACTGGAGCTGCTATTGGGGTGATGCAGACAGGAAGAGGTAAAAGTAAAAACCAGTCTCTTCTCCATCCTTAAGCCTTTCATGCTCCCTCTAGCACCCCCTACTGGTGTGACAGGGAACCTGATGGTTGAGGAGAAATGTGTTTGCAGAGTCCCAGCCCCAGCATCACTACTGCCTAGCACAGTGCCTGGAACTTAGTAGGTGCTCAATATGTTAATTGAACAGAAGTGAGTTTAGATGGATGGATGTGGAGCTGAGAGACGAGTGTAGCAGAAATACACATTTTGGAAAATGTCCCCATTTTTGTATTTCCGGTGGACCTTTTTCTTGGGATAATGGGTCTGTTTCTTATTTCTTTGGGATATGGAATGCTGACCAACCTGAATTTACAAGGTGACCTCAAAATACCAGAACAAATGTTAGGCTAATAGTGCGTTTTCATGGGATAGTTGATACTGTCATATACTAGAGTTGATAGATACAAACTCATGGGGAAGCCAGGCCCTGTGTGATCCAATAATAAAGTCAATTAGCATTGCCACTTAATGATCAGCAAGTCAGACAGATGATCACACCAAACAGGATTTTGATGGGAAGAACTAACTTGATGAAACGAAACCTGATCGTACTGAAATATCCATGTCTCTCCGCCTCAGGGCTTCCTGGCCCCTTCTCAGTGGCTTGCCTCCTTCACTCACCCACTGTCTTTAGGTGGAGGTTCTATGATGGGAAGAGGCTGGATTTCTGCTGGCAGAAAGGATTTACCTGACATTTTAAAAGAAAATGATGTCCAGCGTCTCATTGTCTTCCTGAAAGTCACTGTCTTCCACCTGCCCTGGCCCGGCCCTTTAAAGGCCCTGGTGTACAGGCGACTGGGAGCCAGCACTCGGTGTGCCCTGAAAGCTTAACCATGGCACCGGGCGCACACAGACTCTGTGCCTACCTCATAGACTTCAGCTCAGAGAGTGAAGACAAAATCTGCACACATAAGAAGCCCCTTGCTGGGGGTCAGTAATGATAAAAAGTGTGAAATTTCAAAATATAGACCTACCTAGTACCTTGTCAGTTGCCCCCCCCCCCCCCCCCCCCTCCAGCTGTTGGTCCAGTGGCGTGCCACACACAGTCACGGTGCTTTCCAAATCCTGTCCCTCCTTTTCAGACTTACAGATGCTTTGGTGATATTTTTATTGCCAGCAAACCAACCCACCTGCCTCCTTGGTTAGCTCCAAGTGGCTGTGAGTGGAGAAGGTCCTGAGAGCAGGATGGAGGAGATGTAACTGGAAAACCTTTCTGTGTCCAGGAGCCCAAAGAAAGGGCAGCAGTAGGAAGGAGGCGGTGCCTGGACATCCGAGCGTTTGCAGTCAGATGGGATTCATTGCTGACATCTCTGATTATTTCCTGTGTGGCCTTGGATGAATCACTTGGTTTCTTTAAACCTGTTTTTTCCTCTGTGAAGCACAGAATTTGTTTGCCTTAGGGAAGTGTTATAATGATTAAAAATTCTTCACTTACTTTTATATGACTTGATTTTGTAAACACTTCATGAGCTAAGTGTTATAACCTGCATTTTTTTTATTTGTTATTTTATTTTTTAAGAAGTATTTTTATTGATTTCAAAGAGGAAAGAAGAGGGAGAGAGAGGTAGAAACATCAATGATGAAAGAGAATCATTGATTAACTGCCTCCTGCACGCCCCACACTGGGGATCAAGTCCACAAACTGGGTTTATGCCCTGGACCGGAATCGAACCCAGGACCCTTCAGACCACAGGCCCACGCTCTATCCACTGAGCCAAATCAGTTAAGTCTATTTGTTATTTTAAATTTTTTTATTTTTTAGTTACACTAGTGATTAGATTTTTAAGCCTAACTTGTGAAGTGATCACCCTTATAGGTCTAGTACTCATCTGGAACTGGCATTTTAATCATGAAAAAACTGAAAAAAGGCTCAGAGAAATTAAGGGATTTGCCCAAAGTCACACGGCTAGCCAGTAGCAGAGATGAGATTGAGACTTCAAGGCCGGTGTTGTTTCCCCTGGGCCAATAAGGACCCAGATTGGTGTGTTGAGTGCAGCATGTACCTGAGAGGTGTTTAGTTTTCTGTGTGTAGGAGATGGGTGTGTTTGTGAATATAGAGAGGAATGTAGAAGGTATTTTTCTTTGTTCAGACTGTAAAGTATAAGCCGTCATCTACACTAATAAAAGAGAAACATGGTAATTGGCGTACGACCGCTACCCTTTTCATTGGCTAATCAGGGCGATATGCAAATTAACTGCCAACTAAGATGGCGGTTAACCGCCAACAAAGATGGCGATTAATTTGCATATGTAGGCACAAAGTGGCTGAGTGAAGACTGAAGGTGAGCCGGAGCAGCGAAGACAGAGGACAGAAGGCAGCTCTGGCCAGAGCGAAAGCCTGGGTCCCAGGTGCCGGAGGAAAACCGGTGCCCACAGCCAGGAGAAGGGAAGGCCTATTGAATGAATCTCTTCATGCAAC